TTTTAATTGTGTTTTCTTAAATTTGTCAAACATTGGAGTATATTTGGTATTGTGTATGTGTGGTGACTACTTTAGAATTTTAGTCTTAGAAAGAGACAGTTACAAAATTTTCCCCAAATATAATGGTTGATTAATTAATTAGTTTTTTGTCAAAATTAATTTGATGTATTACAGTGATTGATTAATTAGCTTAACTTTTTATGTTTAACAAAAAAATATAGTCTAAAAATCAATTTTCAAGGATTTTGGAGACCATCTCTTATCAGTGGAGCATCATTTATTCCTCAAGAAAACAACAATTGTTTGGGCAGTGTTTCATATAAATATCGAAGTGTGTTGCATACTACTCAAAGTGTACCATTGTCAGACATCACCAATGGTAAACATCATTTAAAATTAAATTATCATTATTTCTTTTATTTATTTTCAATCATATATTTTACTAAACATATTTCCTTATGTAGTATTTGAAACAGCCTCTACATTGACTTCAATAAATACAACATCAAAAATTATTGGATCAGGTGATACACTTATATTTCTGTCCAATTACATTACAAATGTTGTGCTATTTCAATAGTCTAATTATTTATACAATAATATCTATTATTTATATCTTACTGTGTGTTCTATTTATTTGTGATTATAATCGTCCGCATAAAATTTAGGACTGTCACACTTCATTGATCTTACAAATGACGATGGCAACGACAGCTTGCTTCTTAGTCCTGATAATATATTCAAGCAAACACAAGGTAATTAAAATTGTCCATTGGGATGTTATATTTAGTTTTATGTATTTCTTTTTTTACAAATCCAAATATGGATTTTCAAAATTGAAATAGTGCACTTTTATAACTATTATGTTTGAATTATTGTAGGTATTGATTCCCACTCTGAGATGTTCAATGACCCTGCTGACAATCAAGTACCACCTACAACTCTTAAAAGAAAACGTGGTCGACCTAAAAAGATTATAGGAAATACGCCCGCACAAGTTGGTATGTTGTTAATTAAATACTAATTGTATCACTTATTGCATGTGATTTCAATATAACATTTTTGGGTATATATATTTTAATTGTTTACGTTTTTTAGAACGTGAAAAATTAACCGTCACTCCAACTCCATGCCCAACTATATCGAGTGAGATATTGGATAACCCGGTTAACGATCAAGTACAACTTACGTCTATTAAAAGAAAGCGTGGACGACCAAAAAAGATTCTAGGAAGTACGTCCACACAAACTGGTATGTTGTGATTTAAATACTAAATTTATCACTTATTGCATGTGATTTCAATATAATTTTTTAAGTAATTTTTTTTTTATTGTTTATGTTTTTTAGAACTTGAAAAAATAACAGTCACTCCAACTCTATACCCAACTATATCGAGTGAGATACTGGATCACACAATTGACGCTCAAATACCACTTACGACTCTTAAAAGAAAGCGTGGACGACCCAAAAAAAAAAATAGGAAGCACGTCCTCACAAATTGGTATGTTTTTTATATTATGATTTTTCTTATTAATTATATAATTATATTTAGTGGTCATTTTTTAATTAATTATGTTTGTATTATTGTAGGTGTTGATTCGCGCGATCAAGTGCCACCTACCAGTCAAATAGAAAAACATGGTCGACCTAGAAAAAATTTGGCAAGCACTTCTACACAATCCGGTTGGTTTTCATTTTAATTTTTATTTTATGATAAATTTTGTAAATTCATTTTATTATATAATATTATAATATTATTCATCATTAAAATCGTAGAGTACTGGGACATGGTGTTGGAACCCACGAGGATCTCGATATGCACAAATCACAGACAAACATTCAACATAAACCTATGCGCAGCGGATCTAAAGGTTTGATGAAGAAAACTTACTGCTTA